GTAGTCTGCAATATTTGGTACTCGTCCAAGAGCGTAAAAAAGCTTTCATTTTCTCTGAAAATCAATATTCTTCCCCAGACCAGTCACATAGAACAGACGTGTCATAAAGCCGGTACCGTGTGCCACCAGACGTCATAAACCCTAAGACAAACCAGACGTGACGTAATCACAACACCGGAAAAGACTATAATCTGATGCAAACGGGTGATCTACTTTGCGGCAAAACACGCTTAAAAGGGCGCATCCACTAGCGCTGCACTTTTGTTGCAGCTAGTATCGATATTGCATTTTTAGAAGTGACACAAAGATCGTACATAAAAGATGGTTCACTCAGCTAAAAAAGAGTGGAAAGAAGTTGGTGTATTGCTTCAGATTGCGCTGCAGTCTTTGATTTGAAACTCTCTTTCGTTTCTTCAGAAGAAAAATAGGAATAGCACAGCTTGTCAGTTTCACTTTTATTGTTTTTCACACAAGTAGGGTAACTCTGTTCGCAAAGCGGGCTCTTTTTCGACCAGGGCGCCACCGGATTTTGAGGACACTTTTTAATAGGCTCAAAGAGAGGAGTGAACTATCTTGTTATGTACGATCTTTAGTTGAAATGACTAAACAGAATAAACATTGTGGCTTTTGTTACCACGCACTGGTGGCTGGAAACCTATGTCAAACGTCTTTTTATTGTGTTCCCGAATCTCAAATATTTTCAAGAACTTCTTCATCCTTCTTCTTTTTCTGAGATCATATATTATGATAGATAACACAATACCCTATACATGACCGATTTGACCTCATAACAAATCACTTTCAGGCCACATATTTATAATATCATACATGTAAATAGCAAATACAGCTTTAATATTTTATTTTACAACGATATGAGCCCAAGCGTGATACGGGCAGTATGTGTAACAAAGGTGAGTGTGTGTAGTCCCCAATTTGAGCACAGGTTAAAAAGAATAGTTCCAGCACATCGCTACCTTAGAATTGCAAAGCTTTATATGCCATTTTAGGCCGTTTTTAGTTACTAAGACCATGAGGTGAGCAATTAAATCATGAATATACTTAATTGAAATCATAAGATTATTCGGAGTCGTTATCAAAATATTCAAAGAATTGCTTTTGAAAAAGCTTGACATGTTGTGAAACTCAAAATGTACCTCAGAGCTTAGTACTGAGTAGTTAGAACTTTGTAAGTCCAGGGTAGCGAGGTAGCAAAACGCGTGGTAACTCAGAGATCAGAATATTGAACAATGTCGTCCAACAAACTCAATATGAATGAAAACACAGGCAATGCTTCACTTCTCCGTTGGTGAAATGCTTGTGAGTGAACTTCCCACAACGCTCCGAAGACTTTGTCGACGTCTTGCTCGCCTGTGCCTTCCTGTCTAGCGCTGGGATACACACCTTCTGTTCTTTGGCCTCGTAGTGACAGGTCTGGCAGTGGCATCCTTGACCTTGACCCAGCAGCCGGTTCCTGGAGTCCCGGGAGATGGAGCTGCTAGCAGGTGTGCCTGGCGGAAAATCGGAGCGGCGGTTTGGGTTGGAGCTCTGCAGCTTTGGCGACGTTCCTCGCCATACGTTTCTTCTCCAAGAACTGGAATAACAAACAAACAAACAGACAAAATGTCAAACAATATTGAAGGAAGAGAAGAGACCATATTGTAAAACAATTTTGAAGAAATATAATACGGAGCATTTAAGCCAACATAGAAGGAAAAAAATATGAAGCATATAAACTAACACTGAAGAAAAAATATTATGGATATAATCAATAAACCATTATTGAAGAGATAAAAGTATGTTCAAGCAATATTGAATGAAAAATGAAAGGATATAAAGCAATATTGAAGATACACAAAACAATAGAGCGTGTGAAACATGAATGAAGAGAAAAAGAGATCGTGGGATCAAATAATTATAAAAAAGAACATATAAAACAATACTAACCATAGCACTGTAGCAACATGCTAAAATGTTATCACATATTGGTAAAGGGTTTCTTGTTTTGCTTTGTTTCGCTCTGTGCTGATAAAAAAGTTTGTTTCAGGTAAGTTGAAGATCGTCAATGAATTCCTGTCGAAAGGCGACAATCACAACTTTGTGGTGACAACTCAGTTGGCTGTCTACACCTCTCTACCGCCCCCCCCCCCCTCTGCCCTTTCCGCCGTTTTTCCGCCCCCCCTCCCCTCTGCCCTCCCCTCCTTCATTTTACACAATATGCACTTTAATGCAACGTGCAATCTAATATGGTAATAATAATAATAATAATAATAATAATAACAATAATAATAATAATAACAATAATAATAATAATAACAATAATAATAATAATAATAATAATAATAATAATAATAATAATAATAATAATAATAATAATAATAACGATAATACTGATAAAAATGATGATAAAGATTATAATGAAATGGCAATAATAATAATAATAATAACTGCACATTTTGTAGTGCATATCCATAGGCTACAACACGACCAGTGCGCGGTACAACCATTATTACCCCAGCAGACCCGAGAACACTCAGAAACATCCTCAGCTTCTGGAGAAGCATACAGCGCAAGAATCCGATGAAGCGCTCAAACAATAACGAACATACAAGAACATAGCCGAGTACGAATTCCCATCTTGAGGAGGTCAAGAAAACTAAGAGCACAGTGCCTTCCCTAACGAGGCAACCTCGAACCTCTGGTGGGGTTCGAATTAAAAACCTTTCGGATGTGTGCCCATCAGCCTGATCACTAGACCAGCGACAAAATATGGGCTTTAGGAAGGAAAAAATGGGTAAAGGATTCGAACCGTTATCGCGAACAACAAAGTCTAATTTTCTATTGAAAAAAAAAAGCAAACAAACAAATTGGTGGTCAAACAGTGTGTCTGGAGTTGTATTTTCTCGTGGATTAACAGTGTTAAGAAGTAAAGCTTTTCTTAAAAAAAAAAAATTTCAGTTATAATAAAACTAATAAGTGAAAGACACACGGTTTGACTGAAGTCTTTTGAGACAAGCAGTTACAGTGTTTGCATTCAATATAATATGAATATATTTCAGTTGTGTACTACAGTATATTATTACAATTTAAGTGTTACGTCTTTTTAAAAAAGCATAACGTGCAGTCAAAATGGAAGTGAAAAGAAGAAATAAAACATGTAAAACGATATTAAACACGGCATAGTTATTTACCACATCATAAATGATTGAATGTTTTGCTGTTTTTTTTCCTCTTCTGTTTATATATGATGTCAAAGTGAAGTTGTAACAAAATTACCTCCCTGACAAAATTGCACAGCAGAAAAATGTGTTTTATAGGTAGAAACTAGTTTGAAGACATCATATTCTTTAAGTGTCAGATCTGCGACAGACATCGATGATCGTATTTCGGTTTTCATTTGTTTGTTCGGGGACTCTCAGTAAAGAGTTACATCATCCCCCGTATCCCATCTGTTTAGGCTCTGGGTCTACCCCAGCCTTGTTTGCCTTCAGTTTTGTCAGTAAGAGCTTCATGATTTGTTCAAAGCTCGTATTAAATTTGAGTTTAAAAGTGCACGTTTTAATGCTTCTTTCTGAAATATATGATATCATAAGTTTACAAATAAAATGTCATATAATAAAGGAAAAGAACAGAATCATTATATTCATCGTTCATTCAATAAGTGTGAAAACAACGTGCCAAAGAAGAAAGACGTGGCCACACGTATTCTCATTCGGTAATCGAATGTTTGTACGGTCTAGGAAACTGGAGTTGAGTGGAGCTTCAGGATACAGCTTGAAACTTTCAAATCAACAAAACATTTTCGTGCGAAGACTTAGTTTGGAAAAGGTGAGAAAAGGGAGAGAGGAAAAAAAAAAGGGGGGGGGGGGTGACACATGAACACTCTGCACTATTCAACTTTTCAAAAAACGTAAAATATTGTTTTGTCAAATCACTTATCATCAGCATGGCTGCATAAATTAAATCCGTGTCGATTCCAGTCTTATATAAACTGAATTTAATGAAGACAGAGAGAAAGGGAAGCATGTATAATAAATAATTGCTTTTATCTCGTGGAAGGAGCCAGCCTCAAACCCCACTTAAAACATGAGCTTTTAAACAGTTTGCGTCCATTCACAAAGAGACAGAACACGCAATGCCCATGCAAAAATCAGTGAGAAATATTTAATTCCAAGGGCTGATATCATGCCACAATATTAATTTGATTATTTACTGTTACCTGTTGGATTGGGTGAGAAGTCATCTCAGCCATCACAGTTAAATTTTAGAAATTAATTTCATGCCCATACATTTTGTTGATAAATTGAATTACCAATCGGTAACATAATGACTAGTTATTTTATATAGAATGTGAATAAATAGGTTCCAATATTGTAAACTACTGTTTTTCTTTAAATTTTCTGCCTCTACACTGTCCCTAGTTTTAGAAAGAAAACCTGGGTGTCTGGTGTGCGTTCTGGTTTGTCCCTCCGTTTCTGTAAAACACGTAGTTATGTCTGTCCTCCCTCTTGTCTTTTAAACATACATGTATATCGGCATTATTTCCTCTCCTTCTAGTCTTTTAAACATACATGTATATCGGCATTAGATCCTCTCCTTCTAGTCTTTTAAACATACATGTATATCGGCATTATTTCCTCTCCTTCTAGTCTTTTAAACATACATGTATATCGGCATTATTTCCTCTCCTTCTAGTCTTTTAAACATACATGTATATCGGCATTATTTCCTCTCCTTCTAGTCTTTTAAACATACATGTATATCGGCATTATTTCCTCTCCTTCTAGTCTTTTAAACATACATGTATATCGTCATTATTTCCCCTCCTTCTAGTCTTTTAAACATACACGTATATCGCCATTATTTCCCCTCCTTCTAGTCTTTTAAACATAATATATCGTCATTAATAATTTATCTCCTCCTTCTTGTCTATAAAGCATCTATCGTCATCATCTTTTCTCCTTGTCTTTTAAACATATGTCATCATTATCTCTCCTTCTTTCTTATAAAATATATATCTTTATAATCTCTCTCCTTCTTCTCCTTGTATGCTACTCAATACCACAAACCGTCGTCACTTATAGGATCTAATTATGAGTCAAAAGCAACTAAATCTTACTAAAACTTATGAAAAAAAAGAAAACAAACAACCTATTAAATTATGGAATCAACCACAAGCATTCAGCATAACACACCACATATCTCTTAATATATCGGTGCATCGAATATACAGAAAACCACAGCCATGCAAGAGTGACACTCCGCAAGCAAAGAAAAGGAAAACTCTGGTCGTCATTTCAAATATTAAAAATAAAACTACCTCAAACCACTTGTGAGTTGATGGAAAGGAACAAAAACTAATTTGAAAAAATCAAGGTGAACTCAATCACAATGGTAAAGCGAAAGCGGTGTATTACGCCAGCTTCAGCTCATCGTGAAAGTCTAAGTCAGTGCCAGTTACGAAAGAAACCTGTGCATCACTCAAAAACTCACCACTGCGATAAAGAGGCCTGGTGATAAAAAAGTAATAAAAAAGATGTATGGCCAGGTGGAACTGTAAAAATACAGACAAAAATTACCGTTTCATATGGTCGGCCACATTTTTGGAAGTCCTAAGCCTAAAATATAAAAAAAAATCCAAAATTCAAATGTTAAACTTTGACCTAAAAAAGCTATATTTATGTAATCGTGAAGACGTTAAAATATTTCAGGAGAAACAGAAAAAAAAAACCCCTACTGTTTTTTATTCTTTTAACAATAATTTTACATCATTTCTTGCTTTTTAAAACCATTCAGAATTCGATGTTCCTCAACATATTTCTTTCACATATGCGACCATTATGACAGATAGAGAAACTGCAAAGTGGAAAAATATCAGAACTTTGTGTCTTGTACTTTTTGACAGCTGACTGACGATATACGTAAAGTAGGTGCATTGTTTAAAAGACTAAACGTTTGTCTCTCTCTCTCTCTCTCTCTCTCTCTCTCTCTCTCTCTCTCTCTCTCTCTCTCTCTCTCTCTCTCTCTCTCTCATAAAGTAGACTTTCTGGAATAGTTGAGCATTTGCTGACAATATTGTTTTTGATATTTGTCATCGTAGTGAAATCAGACTTCGATCAAAGTAATCAAAACGAAAAATAAATAAATTACATAATTTTTCCGCTGAATGGGCAATTTTTATTTCTTTTCTTTGTTGTTTTTATTCTACTTAACACCATTAAATTTTACTCCTGTTTAAAACTCACTGCTGAGTTGAGTACATGCACAAAAAAGTGTACATTTCTAGTTATTAAGAACACTACAACTTTGAAAGTCACAAGCTAACTTGGGAGACCATCTTCTCAATAATTTTACATCTGAAATCTCCCATAATAAATATTACCGCGACGTCTATTCAAAATGTGAGTATTATTTGTCTGTCAAAAGGAAGAGAAACGAACAACCATTAAAAGGATAAAATCAATAGCTCCCTATGCCCAAAACTTAATAATACCTGGTTCCACTGCATCGTGACACACGTACAAGTTCTCTTCAAATCCATGTACAGCTCTTTCACGTTTACTGATTTACCTAACTTAGTTCGTAATAACATTA